AAAAGGTTTTCAGAGGCAAACTGGCGCATATTCACTTTACAAATAGGGAAAACTACATAAAATAACCATGCAACCATCCCGTTCGCCTATGTTTGAACCTATGTCGAACTAACAATATTTAGCGGTCTTAACGACTTAGTCGTTGGTGAGGTCTCCAGGATTCGAACCCTAGCAAAAGGCAACGCTAACAGCTATACCAATCAAAGCGTGTACTTGCTTTTCTACTATGTTGCTCGCGACTATTGGTAGCCGCTTGAAAGTAAAAACATTTTATACGTGGATGGCCAGCGGTTCAAACTTACTGAGTATATCTAGTAGCGAGACAGTCTACAGTATAGATAGAAAGTTGGCTTTACAAGACGGCAAGAACTGCCTGATAATAAAAATTTTCTAGAAATGCTTGTAGACAACTATATCGGAATAAGATTTTCATTTTTCGACTGAACGTTCTATTTTGGAAATACATGTCTCGAGAATTCAGTTATATTCCGATACCGCAAATTTTCGACGAAGAGCTATATCGATCCTATGTGATATATGTATTAGAGAGATCATCAGATAAGATATATGTATCACAAGGATTCAACCTCACATGAAATGAAATGTAAGAATAGAAGTTTCTAGTTACCTAGGCTTGGTGCACCATTATCTAGATTCAAGATCATCAAGCTGAAAGATGTTCACAGGATTTAGTTATTTTTTCAGTTGAGTATCGCCAGAGTCTCAGAGTTCTCCTTATAGGATATACGTATAACAGTAGTATTTTGAAAATTATACGAAAAAATCTGATGTGTACACCACATGACTTCCTTGTACGGAATATTAAATTATAAGCATTTTTTCTTGCATTTCATTTAAACTTATTGGATTGAATTAAATCTACTTCGCCGACAGTGCATAAACCACAATAGAATAAATGCGTTCTTTAAAATTCACTCTACTATTTATTTACCATAGCGACACTCTGGCGCTAGATTCACTTAACAGTATTAATAATTATATAATAGTTAACTTATATAATAATTATATAACGGAAACTAAGTTAACTGTTATATAATCCAATAATTATATAACAGTTAACTTATATATTTCGTTCATATTATAACTCATAATGCACAAAATTTATATCATTTAAAGAATAGAATTATCTAATCGTTGCCACATGTCTATTCAAATCGTTGCCACATGTTCTATTCAAATACTATAATAAAGCTACAATGATGTATAAAAGAAATTAAGCAAACAAAACAAAAAAGAAACAGTTTTTCACAGACGATTGAGTATTTCTCATTTAATTAATTCAGTTCTCACTTCGAGAGAAGGCAAAAATACATAAAAACTCAAAATATCTATATTAAAAATTACGAAGTAAATCTTAAACACTTATTTCCTCAGAAAAATTCCAGAAAGAAATTAAGCATAATTTAATTGGCAATAATAAATGAATGCGTTATCTTTGTTGTTGCGAAGCTAAGTTTCTCTAGATTGGCAATAAATCCACGAGTCTCCTGTTTCAAACGTAAACATCAATGGCCGCCATCAAGAGAAGTATTAGTCTTAGCGGCACTTAAACAACTTTAAAATTGTTGATAATTCTAAACATATTGCATAGAGATTTACTAAAGGCATAAAAACCTTAACCGGAAGATAAGAACAACATAATTCAATCATTTTTAAAGCAAAAAATGTACAATTTACCAACATATAAGAGTATAGAAACTGAGATCACTGAGCCGGGTAACAGAGTGGATATATATATAAATATATTTTATATACGTTTATTGCGGCCGATTCCAACCAAAATACGAGGTGCACATCTACATGTTATAGAAGTCCTATATACAAAATTTCAACGTTCTGAGGCTACTCGTTTTTGAGTTATGCGAGATACGTACGTACATTCGTACAGACGCCACGAAAAATTCTCTTCAGAATTCATTTTAAAGCAGTTTTATAATTATTTTGGAGGAAAAGAGTCTTTTATTCTGTCCTTACGTACATATATCACGCAAAAACATCGTTAAATTGCATTCGATCGCGGTCAAAATGGATATTTTCGTTGAAATATGCTGCCTGAAACTTTTCGCGATTACAATACTTCCTTTTGACTTCATACAAGGAAGTAAAAACCAAGATCCTCATCAATGCAGTGTGATCTTAGTTTTTGTCAACTCGCAACCAATTTTTAGCCCAAAGGGGCAATTTGCCCAGAAGGGTTATTAATTTCGTTTTGTCATTTTGCGTTGATTCTCTAAAAACGGCGAATCACTTTTTAAATTGTTACCACCAAATATTAAAACCCTGTATTATATTTAAACGAATATTCATTAAATAAATTAAATAGTGAAAAATATGCATAAATGTATGCATGTTTCTGGCATTGTGATAAAACAACGGTACCTAGAAGCATCAAATTCTGAATAACGTAAGCCTCTACACGAATATGGGCATCTGGAAGACTACATTTGGTATTTGTTTTAAGATCTATTTTGTATTTTGTAAAGCATTTATGAGTTTTTGATTAAGAAACTCAACGATTTCAAAGCAAGCAGTGGCAATAGTGTACGAAAAAAAATTATCTGCAGCGTGCGAGACTGTGTATCGGAAATTCTAAAGATATGCTCTTTCAAATATTTTGTGATATTGCCGTTGAATTGAATTTTTATGGTTTAAGTGAAAAGACCATGATATATAATAAACAAACGTAACACACACAACGTTAAAAAACGCCCCCTTGGGCGTGATATAAAATCTGAAAGCTTTAATATTTTTTTTTAAATTTATTTTCTTTCATTGTCGAAGTATTAATATAAAGTTGAACCTAAATAAAATTTATAAAGTTCTACTATTAGATGATTGGCTGATGTAATGTACAAACTACTGATATAGTTATTCATAATTAACAAGTGATGCTGTGTGAACTAAGCTTAGGAAAATAGTACTTTTAACACATGGTATTCTGTACTGCAAGAAAAGGATAAACTGAGTGTAAATTTCGCTTAAAGTAATAACATTGCTTTTTCAAGAAACGTTGTATAAAAGCAATCCTAATTTAAGTTTTTTTTTTTTTTTTTTTTTTTTTTTTTTTTTTTAGTCCAAAGGGATTTGAATCCCGAAGGACTATTAGTTTCGTTTTGGCATTTTGCGTCGGACTCATAAATGTCGGTTCACTTTTCAAACTGTTGCCACAAAATGTTAGAGTCCTGCATTATATTTGAAGAAATTAAATAATGAAAAATCTGCATAAATGATTGTCTATTTCTCGCATTGTGATAAAACAAATGGTACCTAGAGCCATCGAATTTTGAATGAACGTAATCCTCCAACGAAATATGAGGCATGTGGAAGACTCAAATTTGAAATTTGAATTTGTTTTATTATCGATTTCCTATTTTTAAAACTTTGACGAATTTTTTTTGATTAACAAACTCAAGGATTTCAAAGCGAGCAATGGCAAACTGTTGTGCAGAAAAAAACATTTTTATCTCCAGCGCGTGAGATCTGCTGTATCGGAAATTCTAAAGATATGGCTCGTTTTAAAATATTTTGCGATATTGCTGTTGCAACTGGAAGTCTTATGGTTTAAGTGCGAGGAACATGATATTTAATAAATAAAGGTAACACACAAAATGTTAAAAAACGACCCCTTGGACGTAATTTAAAATCTGAAACATTTCAGATTTTATTTATTTATTTTTTTTTTAGTCCAAAGGGGCTTTGTCCCTGAAGGACTATTGTTTTCGTTTTGCGATTTTGCGTCGGACTCATAAACGTCGGTTCACTTTTCAAACTATTGCCACAAAATGTTAGAGTCCTGCATTATTATTTGAAGAAATTAAATAATGAAAAATCTGCATAAATGATTGTCTATTTCTCGCATTGTGATAAAACAATGGTACATAGAGCCATCGAATTTTGAATGACGAAATACTCCAACGAATATGAGCATGTGGAAGACCAAATTTGAAATTTGAAATTTGTTTTATGATCGATTTCCTATTTTTTAAAACTTTGACGAATTTTTGATTAACAAACTCAAGGATTTCAAAGCGAGCAATGGCAACGTTGTGCAGAAAAAACATTTTTTATCTCCAGCGCGTGAATCTCTGTATCGGAAATTCTAAAGATATGCTCGTTTTAAAACTATTTTGCGATATTGCTGTTGCACTGGATCTTATGGTTTAAGTGCGAAGAACATGATATTTAATAAAGAAAGGTAACACACAAAATGTTAAAAAACGACCCTTTGGACGTAATTTAAAAAAATCTGAAAATTTCAGATTTATTATTATTTATTTATTTTTTTTTTTAGTCCAAAGGGGCTTTTGTCCCTGAAGGATATTGTTTTCGTTTTGCGATTTTGCGTCGGACTCATAAACGTCGGTTCACTTTTCAAACTATTGCCACAAAATGTTAGAGTCCTGCATTATATTTGAAGAAATTAAATAATGAAAAATCTGCATAAATGATTGTCTATTTCTCGCATTGTGATAAAAACAATGGTACATAGAGCCATCGAATTTTGAATGACGAAATCCTACTGCGAATATGGGCATCTGAAATCCCAAATTTGGAATTTGTTTTATTATAGATTTTATATTTTTGTAAAATTTTAACGAATTTTTGATTTACAAACTCAATGCTTTAAAAGCGAGAAATGGCAACGTTATATAAAAAAAAATACTTTTATCTCCAGCTCGCGAGACTGTGTATATCGGAAATTCTAAAGATATGCTTAATTTAACATTATTTTGCGATATTGCTCTTGAACTGAATTTTATGGTTTAAGTGCAAAGAACATGATATTTAATAAATAAAGGTAACACTCAAAACGTTAAAAAAACGCCCCTTTGGACGTAATTTAAAATCTGAAACATTTGAGATTTTTTTTTTTTTTTTCGTTCTTTCAAAATTCAAAGGTAGCCCTAACGTATTTTGCCACAATTAAATAAACTAATCCAAATTCAAGGAGTCAGAAAAATACTACAACTTCTGTACGATGTAACCTATCTGAAAGATTTATAAATATGGGGTGCTTCTTTGCACTCTCTCTTCCGTTTTCATAGTACTACGTTTCGTTTTAATTACAGTTTCTTAAATGAGTTAAATTCCTGTCCAGAAGTGAGTTTGCTTACTTTACTTTTTATCATTTTCTTTTCGTTGCAGTGTTTCACATTTATTTAATTAGGAACTATTTTATGTATATGTGAAGAAAATAGCTGTTACTCGTACCAAATAATGTTAATAATTTAATTTAAACATTGGGTAAAACTCCGTTCGTCTGCATTACTTATATCCGAAACTTCAGTTACAGGGATCAGTTTTTCTATTAAGGGTAAGCAAACGTTAGCTCGTTATTAAATTATTTACTTATTTTTATTAAGTCATCAACCAAAAAGGTAAAATCCTAGTATACGGTGCAGCCTTGGCGCGATTTTGAAAATTATCGCCAACACCAAAAATGATCCAAAGAACGTCTATATATATACTATGTGTGTATATACATAGTATATGCGATATAGTATATACTATGTATAACCATATATATTCTTTGAATGACCTGTTTACTACTCATCGTATATGTCGCGTTTTTACTGCTCATCATAAAGTCGCCAAAAGTAGCCAAATCCCGTGTGCACCGGATACTAGGATTAAAACTTAATAGTAAATATGTGTTGGATTAGTATTATTGTTTTGTATCAGTAGGAGCAATGGCGTAATATAATTTTAATTGGATAAAAATGCCGTGTTCTTTGGTTTACCATAATAATTTAGTGCAATAGAAATTGAATCTCTATTCAGTTTCACAAATAAAAATTTCCTTGCTGCATTTCAGTTGAAATACAAAAAGAATGTTATTTAGGAACCTCCTAAAATCCTAAAAATTAATTTCATGATATTAAATTCTTTTCATAGAGGAAAGAACTGCTTACTTAACTGTTTACTGTTATTTGTTGCTTCTTAACTGTTTTGTTTTCGTAAAAGCTGATAAGCAAAATAAGCGAACTTTGCTCTGTTGTATTGTCACAGTTACGTTTTAGGTCTTCCAAAAAAAGTGAAACCATTTTGTTTCTTGAATATCACGTGGGCAGTAAGTTTTCGTAAGATATATGCTAACTCTAAACTGTATATTTACTAAAGTATGTTATGTGTTTAATTAGTTTATGAAGATACCCGCATGATGTATTCATTTGAACTTTCTTGTAGCTTGAAGGTTTTTATTCGTTTAATTTAATGTAAATAGGTAAAAAAAAGCATTTCTTCACTATTTTTATTCGCAAAATTGTTTTAAATCCTTAATTTTTTTGGTCGAGTACCTCCAGAAATCCTATTACTTTATCATTCTCGTTTCTCAACTTTAGTTGAAATACAAAAAGTAACACTCATGCGCTATTTAAGAATTGATTCCGTCTATAATAAGTATAATGCTCTTTATAATTTATAGTGTAAAAAAAGACTAATTATGTATGCATTTCTAATGAAGCATTCCAGCTGGCTGGCAGCCGAGTGGTAAAATGATAGGAGGTCATTCGACCCAAGTTTCGAATCCTGGTGAACGAGCTCGCTGCATAGCAGTTTTCGTATTTGGTTAATCTTTGGATTATGGTAACTTGGCGATTTTTTGGCGAAAATTTGGCGACCAAACCCTGCTACAGCAATCTGCTAGTTTTTGTTTGGACGCCATTTTGTTTTCACAAAGTAAAGTCTTTTTTTTTATTTTATTTTTTTTAACTCAACATTTTTTCTAACAATCTGCTAGCCGAATTACGGTTATGCTAGAACTTTTATGGAACAAAAGTGTTTAATAATGACGAAGATTAGGTGCGAAATTGGGAGAAAGTGCAGAATCGCCCACTGCTTGCCGCGTTTTTTTTTTTTTTTTTTTTTTTTTTTTTTTTTTTAAGAATTGCACATACACGGTATCATCCATGTACACGTCAACCTATTTTCACTTAAAAAAAATCCCAGAAGTGCACAAAAATGGCATTGCGCACACTCTTTACTTTATCCATGTACACTGCTCATGTCCTAGCTAGTAACCTTTATCGCCTTACTAAAATGTCGCGAAACTACCTGTTACCATATTCCAAAGACTTGTCAGTCTTTGGAATATGGTAACAGGTAGTTCACCGTATTTTTTCCAATTTACGTAAACACGTATTTTTTCCAATGGGTAAGAAGAATATGGCAGTTTCCATTAGCAAGTCCCTTATGAAGGCATCCCTTTTCTTAGGCAAGAAGGCCCACCGCGGCCGAGCGGTAAAGTCGCTGAACACTTGTAGCTAGGTTCGAATCCTGCGAACGGGCTGGTTGCATGGGCGTTTTCCCCATTTGTAACGTGTATACGAGCCAGTTTTCCTTAAAGTCCTCTCCGAAAGCATTTCTTCCCTTTGCCATTATCACATAAACTAAACCTTACACAAGATAGCTCTTGCTTTCTTCGCTGTTATTTATAGCTTAGCCGTAGAAAATACTGAACGTAGACCGGTAACTAAATTGAAATAAAATTGTTTGGTACTTTTCCGTTTTGCCGGCGCAAGCGATAAAGTCGCCAATAATGGTACAACCGATGCCAAACGGAATATTCTCGCTGGTAACCTTTTACGCCTCATTTTCAAAACAAGTCGCAACCATTTCTTACCAGATTGATTGTTTCTTTCAATACTGGCATATAATTTTTATCAGATAGTTCAGTTTTATGTCTAAGGCCATTTTCGGTTATTAAGTCAATTAGGATGCAATCGCAGCTCTTACCCGAAGCCGAAAATATAGAAAAGGAAAGTCAAGGGTTAAATTCATCAGTTCTAATGAGTAGTTTACGTGAGATGAGATCGCTTGGGGTCACGTGATATGAACCGGCGAATCAGGATGTTGAACCATGAAAGCATAGTAAATTCTTAAATTAATATCTTTTTACAAATTTATTGGCTTTTTATAAAGTTTTAAGCGATATTAAAATGTTTATGCTTTCAAAAAAAGAATTCTTAGAACTAAAATTTTTTTAATATTTTTTATGTGTATACTGTAGGCGAGATTTGCGCCGGCGAAACGGAAAAGTACCAATTGTTTTAATAAATCTATTCAATCTTAAAAGCGTTTAAAGTTATGTATTAGTAGCTGATCTTTCCAGTTTACCGAATTTAACTGAAGCACTATAGGAGGTTCTCGACGAACAATCTGGCTACTTTCCTACAGGTTTTTATTTTTGTGTATTACTTAAATGCGAAACTGTTTCCTTTAGAAAGCCTCCTATAAAAGCATTATTATATTCTAGTGTAGGTATTCATTTAGTGCCTTGCGTTATTCAGTCTGAGGAGAATAAACGGCTAATCTTTAGAATATGGTAACGGGTAGTTTGACATTTTGGTAAGGCGATAAAGGTTACTAGCTAGGACTTTAGCAATAATCTGAGAAGTACAGAGTTCGAATCGCAGATTATTTTGTCTCGGAGAAATGAGAGATCATGAGACATGTAATGTGACATTTTCCGGAAAATTCCGATCGTGATTTTAGCTAATAAGCACTTAGAAACGATTTCGCTGCTAAAGTGCAGAATCGCCCACTTATTTGTTTGGCGCTTTTTACAAGAGTAAGAAGAATTGGATTTTTGTCAATTTTCTTTGACCTTTTTAAGTGAAAATAGGTCGATGTGTACATGGATAAAGTCAAGAGTGTACGCAATGCCATTTTTGTGGAATTCTGAGATGTTTTTTTTAAGTGAAAATAGGTCGACGTGTACATGGATACCGTGTATGTGCAATTCTTAAACTCGGGAAGCAGTTTGCGATTCTACACTTTCTCCCAATTTCGCACCTAATCTTCGTCATGATTAAGCATTTTTGGGCTAATTTTTGGAATATGGTAACTGGTAGTTTGGCGACAATATGGTAAGGCGATAAAGGTTACTAGCTAGGACTTTAGCAGTGTACATGGATAAAGTCAAGAGTGTGCGCAATGCCATTTTTGTGCAATTCTGGGATGTTTTTTTAAGTGAAAATAGGTCGACGTGTACATGGATGATACCGTGTATGGGCAATTCTTAAAAACGCGGGAAGCAGTGGGCGATTCTGTGTTTTCTCCCAATTTCGCATTTAATCTTTGTCATGATTAAGCACTTTTGTTCCATAAAAGTTCTAGAATAAGCGTAATTCGGCTAGCACATTGTTGTAAAAAAATGTTGAGGGGGGGAAACCCTTAACTTCGGGAAAACAAAATGGCGTCCAAACAAAAACTAGCAGGTTGCTGTAGCAGGGTTGGTCGCCAAAGTTTCGCCAAAAAATCGCCAATTTACCATAATCCAAAGATTAACCCATTTTTGTTCCATAAAAGTTCTAGTATAAGCGTAATTCGGCTAGCAGATTGTTAAAAAAAATGTTGAGTTAAAAAAAATTTCCTTTACTTCGTGAAAACAAAAGGGCGTCCAAAACAAAACTAGCAGGGTTGGTCGCCAAATTTTCACCAAAAAATTCGCCAAGTTACTATAATGTGAAGATTCACCGAATAGGGCTTCTCTAAAATTCAAGAGGTGTGGTTTTTAATTTGACCTTCACTTCAGTACTTGCTTTAAAGTTATTTTTCTCTCGGATTCGCTCAGTGTATTATTCTGTGTCGCTATTTTCCTTGCTACATCGTAATATGGATTTTTACCTATATATGCGCTAATGCTGTTAAATACCTTTTGAAGAACAATTCTGTGGTAACTTAAAGCTCTTAATGTAAAATGAAAATTGTTGTTCATTAAGCTATTGCTAGCATTTCATTTTGAGGTTGTTAAGACTTCGATGCCATCATGTATAGTTTGATAGAATGTTAACTATACGTTCTGTTGATGAGATCTGTCAGAGGGATGTGTTCAGGAAATTCAACTTTCATGTGTTCGTTAGTTTTTGGATTGTAGCAAAAGACCAGAGTCCAACGGGAGGGATTTCTTCGTCGCAGACTTTCTAAGGAAAGCAAGCTAAAATTCACATTACACATGGAAAACTACGAAAACCCGCTATGGAGCCAGTTTACTGGTAGAGACTTGGATCGAACTAGCAATATTCAGCGGTGTTATCACTGACATGTAAGCCCAGTTATAAACAAAACGTTTTTCCTTAAACCGTGAGCGATAATAGGGT